CCCGTCGTAATATCGCAAAAGCTGATAGATATCCGTTGTGACGCAGGTTCATATGCTTCATTGTTTGTAATGATGTGTGCATGTTCACACTGTAACAACTATGTGAATACATCATACATTTCCGTTTCGGTTAGTTCCCCGTTTATTTATTTATTTATTTATTTATTTATTGTGTTATTGTTGTAATCGGCGCAAAAAGCCCAGTAGACGTGCATAGGTCCGAAAGTGCTCAAATCCATCATGGACGTAATTTAATTTTTCTTATCATTTTTATTTCTAATTTGATTTTTTGGTTCATTTTAGATACTGTTATTTGTTTATTTTATTAAGTTGATTTTTTTTTTTTAAATTAACAGACAATCAGTCACCCGGCACAGTTACAACTCAACTGCGATAACACATCCCCAGCCTTGGATAATTTACTAATTTGCGCAACAACAAAAAAATCACAAAGAGTTTGCGTGTGAAATAGATTCACTGAAATAGAGCCTATATCAGATACTCGGGCGGCGGAATCAGCCGTACCGCATGTTCACGTGAAAGACATCTTGTGAAATCAACTAGCTACTGCTTGTATATTGTGTGTGTTTATAAAAACGAAACACAATGGCTTCCCCATACCCGAACCTGGCACGCGAAATCCCATTCACTCGATATGTGTAGATATATATATTTTGTCTGCAAATGCGATTGCAAAATTAGATTACCATTAGAACGAAATGTCGGGTTGTTGGTTTAATCTCATAACTGTTTATTTTAGGTTCAATAGCCACGCTCTGCGGCAGCCACTCAGATACGCCATCGGTTGGCACTCTCACAAAAGCCTGAATTCAATTCATTGTACATGTGTTTTTTTTTAAAATATAAAGAATGAAACATCCACAATATGTTGACATCATTTCAAGGCATTATGTAAAGTCCTTTCAACCTTAAATAAATGAATGAGACTGAGGCGTATCTTCGTGCAATGTACGTTTTATGGCGCGCCAGTTTTTTTTTTTTTTTTTTTTTGTTTGCGTTCAGCGCGGCCGCGGTCTTAAACTATATATGAATGACATTGTGCAAGGTGGCGCTGCGTAGCTATTGAATCTGCTTAAACTAACAACCCGCGACAAAGAACACATTCTCGTTCGATACTGGTCTTGCTTACCGAACACATAGTTGTCTGCCAGTGTATTTAACCTTTATATCGTCTTGGTGACCAAGGATGTTTCGTGACAAAATAGTTTGAATAAAACCACTTGACGAAATAACGCTCCTGGGGTATGAATGATGATTGCGTAGGAAAGTGACACAAACCACTGGTGGCGTATTGTTTGTTTGTATGAATTCGTATGTCCCGAGTTATAATCTGGATTTGAACAGCAAGCATAAGAGGGGATCGTTCTTCATACCCGGTGGCGAGACCGAAACGATTCATTAACCAGAGAATGCGAAATCGGGAGACACAAGACACGTCTCTTGGTGCTTGTGGTTGAGCAGGTCAGCCACATGACAAGCTGTTTTGGGCCTGGCAGAAATGAAAGAAGAATTTCTACAAAGGGTGGCGCCAAACCCAAACCAACCTAAGCAATCAAAATGCACCTGGTTAACGACAGACTATTTCGGTAGAAAAATTAATATGAATCTAACATACTTAAAATTTACATATAACGAAATCAGTAATGATGACAACACTGGCAGTCAACGTCTGTCTGTCACCTGACATCTGCACATAAAAACAATATTGCCTACCGCCCGAGAAAAATACCAGAATAATGTCTCAATTTTAATTATTTGTCACATGACAACATATCCTCACTGCGATTGTAGTCAAATTAAACAAATATAATGATTTTTAAAAAAAAAAAGGATTAAAAACACTGCATAATATAATTTGCGTACTTATGTTAATTAATATAATAACTGCTTCTTGATCAAATTGTCTATGCGCAGTTAATACATTATTTCTATCTGCGCGTACCGATAGAACACGTAAAGCGTCCCCGAAATGATAGATCCATAAAATAAAATGTTTATAACGTAACAACATTTATAATAGTTACCACGTATTAATATAACGCCTGTTTTCACGGTTTTTACGACGTTTTTCTTTCGATTGGTTTGATAGATAACATTGCCTATTAAACGAATGTAGGTTTCTCGGGCAGCAGACAAGATCGCGCGCAATTTGCATGTGAATGTTGAAATCAGCAACTTCGTTATTACTATATATGGGAAAGCGTTCAATATCAATATTATAAAAAAAACTCTTCATGCATTTTTAAATGCATTTGCAGCTTATTTTATGTTTAATACTTGTTCTAATATCTCTTTTCTTAAAAGATAATAACAAATGCACACATATAATAAGTATATACGCATCATTGATTAATGGAATAACGTACTTTTCTTCAGTGATTTATAACAAATTAAACTTCTGGGAGGTTATCTTTTCCAGTAGATGACCTAAATCATGAAGAAAAATAACCAGACGAATTTAATTTTGTCTCGATTATTTACTTCTAGATTCCATTTCCGTCGATGTCATACTTGTTATCGTACTGTGATATGCTGATGTGTGTAGAATAATATTTACCAGATACATGTAACCTTAGTGGTGTTTGATATATGTTAATGTCCTTGAAAGATAAAAATCTTGGCTTATTTCAGCTCAAGTTGAATTCTGAGAATTGTAATGTTTGCTAGGATCGCTAATGATCTCGGGTTTTCTCTTAGAAACCCTAGACAAACTGACGCATTCTAACTACTTCTAAATGAATTATTGCCCAACATAAGAGGTTGTCTTATCGTTGTGCTTTGTTTAGTCACGTGTTCACACTCGCAACACAGTTTTGCGTGCGTAGTACGAGTTTAAACGTTGCACTAATATAGGCACGTATGTCTTAACAACGATATATTTGCAGTGTTTCAATAAGTGTATAGCAGAAAATATTAATATAATAGATAACATTAAGAAAACAAGTTCGAAATTAAAAGATTACATAATATAGATACATATTTGGAATTGATATGCAAATTTGATGTGTGAATATGACTTCTTTGATGTACTAGTATTAGATATTTTGCTATGACTTATAGCTTGCATCTGCGCCGAGATTGTGGTTGTTACATCCAAAGCGTGCCGAAGTCTCTTCCCAACGCGCTGCCGTGATTTTTAAATCAGTAGGGCCATTAATATAATAAATCACCCGAGTTATCGACGTTGTAACAACTAATTTATTATGCACATACATTAAATAATGTATTACCCGGTTTTATTTTCACTCTTGTTGTTTCATATGAGTGTTATGAAAATCACTGTCTTTGATGCTGTATGTAAAATGTGTGTATATGTATTTCCCATTCTGGGATGTAAATGTGTTCGTATATTACCGGAGCCCTTGGCATTTACGGCGGTGTCTAATCGTACTGCTGACAGGAGCTCGTATATCCTGGGTATGTTTTTCTCAGAAGATCGTATGGTTGAGTTGTTACGAGTGACCGCCTGACAGTTCCAATTATGTTTAAGTCTTACAGTGTACGCTGATGGTCGATATGATTAGTAGGCTTTCAAGCGAATTGTGGTGTCCGGAGACCGAATGTTTTTATTATCCAACGGGAGAGGCTAAACGGTGATTCGATTATACCGGTCACTGATCTAATAGCTTGTTCGTTTCGTTCAAAGAGTCTGAATTATTTGTGAGCATGCTCAAAAGTCTTCAGTATCGGCTACCATAATCATGACACATGATTTGCTGGGTTTGACCCGCTTTTATTTCACCGTTCTCTTACAACGTATTCCATGTCAGCTGATGTCGTCGCATGACCGTCTGTCTGTCTGTCTGTCTGTCTGTCTGTCTGTCTGTCTGTCTGTCTGTCTGTCTGTCTGTCTGTCTGTCTGTCTGTCTGTCTGTCTGTCTGTCTGTCTGTC